TGGGGTCAGCAGGTGGCGTGGTGGTTAATGTGCTGGATTCCCACATGGATGGTGGAGGTTTGAATCCCAGAACTGGTAGTTGGCTTTCTCATTCTCTCTTTCTCTCTCTCTCTCTCTCTTTCTGTCTTTCTCTAATGAGTACATATACCCTGTAACAAATTTAAGAAATAACAGTGATAAAAAAAATTAAAGAAATACTTCTTTTCAAAAAAATAATAAATTTGGGGCCAGCAGGTGGCATGGTGGTTTAGGGTGCTGGACTCCCACATGGCCAACTACGGTTCAAGTCTCAGACCTAGAAACTTGCTTTCTCTCTCTCTTCAAATTAGAAGATAAATAAATAAATAAATAAATAAATAAATAAATAAATAAAGTTAAACAGAATAAATAATTCTTTTTTTTGGAGAGAATTTTTCCTATAGGGCGTGTGCGCTTGTCAGAAAGACAGAGACAGAGAGACAGAAAGTGAGAAATCACCCCCCTAGGGGGGATGGCCATGCCATAATCCCTTTTCCTCCATTCTCCTCTAGGGATCTTGGGAGTGCACACACACGTGCCCAGCATGAGTTTAAGCCACCAGGTCCAGGACTCAAACTGTGGTTGACTCATGGGAGTCCAGCAACATAGCCATTATGACAACTGCTGTTCCCAGAATAAATAATTCTTTTTAAAAAATTGAAAAAAAGAAAAGAAACTAAGTTTAGAAAACAGCCTTCATCCCCTTTTTTTTTTTTCTGGAGAGGTTTTCACTATAGGGCACGTGCGCTCACCAGACAGACAGAGAGAGACAGAGAGACAGAAAGCGAGAAATCACCCCCCAGGGGGGATGGTCACGCCGCAATCCCTTCTTCTCCATTCTCCTCTTGGGATCTTGGGCACACACACGTGCCCGGCGTGAGTTTTAAGCCACCGGGTCCAGGATGCAAACCGCGGTCGACTACACGGGAGTCCAGTGACATAGCCATTATGCTAACTGCTGGTTCCCAACAGCCTTCATCCTTATAAGGCCATTTTTTTTTTCTTTTTAAGATTTATTATTATTATTATTTTTAATTTGACCAGAGAAAGAGAGAAAGAAAACAAGGGAAAGTAAGAAGGCAAGCTGCCAGGTCCAGGAATCAAACCGCTGTTGGCCATGTGGGAGTCCACTGCCCTAACCACCACTCCACCTGCTAGTCCCACATAAGGCCACATTTTATTAGGGCTAATGACTGGCCAGAGACTTAAAAAAAGTTTGAGCAGTTGGTAAATTATAAGCTTGAAGGAGTGTATGCCACATATACATAGAGATATACATGTTACAAAAAAGGTAACTTAAGAAATTATTTTATTTAACTTTATTTATTTATTTTAATTTGACTGGAGAAGACAGAGAGGGAGAGAAAGTGAGAAAGCAAGCTACCAAGTCCAGGACTCGAACTGTTATCAGCCACATGGGAGGCCAGGGCCCTTAACCACCACACCACCTTCCAGCCCCCCCAAAAGGTAACTATTTATATTAGTATTTGGGAGCTTTTACTAATTTGTTTCCTTGAGAATCAACTGCAGATCCCAATATGGAAATTTAAATGTCTTTCAAAGAAATATCACTTAAGTTGGTAAGTGTATAAGACCCTGCTAATTTTAATAAAAAAGGAATGTGAAATGGTTAAATGAAATTATTTCTGAACCACATAGGATCAAGCATAGACAATAAAACATAAAAAGATCAAAGTCAGTTCAAGAATACATAGCCTTGGGACCAGCAGTTAGCGTAATAGCTATGTTGCTGAACTCCCATGTAGTTGACTGCAGTTCAAGTCCCAGACCCGATGGCTTTAACCCACACCAGGCGCATGTGCATGCGTGCCCAAGATCCCAAGAGGAGAATGGAGAAGGCATTGCGGCGTGGCCATCCCCCGTGGGGGATAATTTCTCGCTTTCTGTCTCTCTGTCTCACTCTGTCTTTCTGGCAAGTGCACGCGCAAAAACCTCTCCAAAAAAAGAAGGAAAAAAAAAAAAGAATACATAGCCTCCTCTCCAAAGTGATATATAGATTCATCACAGTCCCTGTGATAGCTATCAAAACTGTAGGTGTCAGGCCAGGCTGTGGCCTTGTGGTTAAAGGCGCAGGACCCCACAGTTCGCGTCTCCAACCCGGTGGCCTGAAAAACATGCTGGGTGCATGGCCATATACCTGTGCCAAAAATCCCTAGAGGAAGAAATGGAAAAGGGATTATAGCATGGCCATTCCCCATGGAGGATGATTTTTTCCTCTCCTCTCACTGTTTCTCTATTGAGCACACATGTTCCCTGCCAAAATTAAAACAAATGAAGAAAAAACAAAAAAAAACAAAACGAAAAAAACCTCTGGCTGTATTTTTTTTTTTTTTTTCAAAAATTGATATCCTGAAATTCTCATGGGAATGTAAGGGCACCAGAAGGGCCAAAAGAAAATGCAAAACAGAAACGTTAGAGGAATTACACTTCCCAAACTCAAAGCTTCAGTAATCAAGATGTTTGGTATGAGGACAGCAGATGCCATAATGGTTATGTTGTTGGACTCTCACATAGTCGACAATGGTTTGAGTCCCAGACCTGGCAGCTTAAACTCAGGCCAGGCATGTGTGCGTGTGTACATGCCCAAGATCCTGAGAGGAGACTGGAGGAGAAGGGACTAGCCATTCCCCTGGGGTGATTTCTCACTTTGTCTCTCTGGTGAGTAAATGCATCCTATACCAAAAATATCTTCATGAGAAGAAAAAAAAAGTTGTTGGGTATTAGCATAAACACAGACATATAGATCAATGGAATAAAGTTCAAAGGCCAGAAATAAATCTTTAATTAACAGTCAACTGGGGACCAGCAGTTAGCGTAACGGCTGTGTCACTGGACTCCCATGTAGTTGACCATAGTTTGAGTCCTGGACCCAGTGGCTTAAACTCACGGTGGGCGCTTGTGCGTGCGTGCCCAAGATCCTGAGAAGAGAATGGAGGAAAAGGGATTGCGGCATGGCCATTGCCCCTGGGGGGTGATTCCTCACTTTCTATCTCTCTGTCTCTCTCTGTCTTTCTGGCGAGCAGACATACTCCATAGCAAAAAAAAAAAAAAAAAAAAAAAATAAATTGATTTTCCACAAGGAGGCCATGCCTGATTTTCCACAAGGATGCCATGACCATTCAATAGGAGAAAGACTAACCTTCTGATTAAATGGTGTTGGGATCACTCTATGTACAATCATCTCTTGGTTATCTGTAGGAGAGTTGTTCAAGGACCCCAGTGGAAATCAAAATCCACAGATTTAAAACATAAACTCTCTCTCTCTCTCTGGTCAAATTAAAATAAATGAATAAGTAAATAAAATAACTCATTAAAAAAGAGTCTTATATAAAAATAATAAAAAATTAAACTAGAAGATGCTTAAGTCCATTAAATACAATGGTGGGAACCTGCTTATAACCTACCTACATCCTCCCATGTATTTTAAATCATCTCTAAATTACTTGTAAGTAAACCTAGCATCAGAGAAGAATGAAAAGAAGACTATATAAGCTTCTATGGCAACTCTCTTTTAGGGAGTCATTTCTTCTTTCTCCATTTCACTATCACACCCAAGGCCTGGCTGTACTACAACTTGTTGAATAAGCAGATGTGGAACCCACAGATACCAAAGGCCAATAGTACATCCACATGCAAAACAATCAAGCTGAATCTCTACCTAACATCATACACAAACATTAACTCAAATAACCTAAATGTAAAAGCTAAAATTGGGGCAGACAGTAGCCCAGCAGTAAAAATCCTATGTTTTGCAAGGCAATCTCATGTGGGAAGGTTCCAAGTTCAAATCCAGAGACCTCCCCGAGTACAAAAGGAACAAGTCTTCCCATGATCAAGAGCTGGTTGAAGGCTTGGGAGAGATGGGGGCATCAAGACCCTGTTGGAGGTACCCTGTTGGAACTGCGTTAGAATGGGGTGGAGGTGGATGGTGATGTCAAGACTCTGTTCGAAGTGCTATACATTTGTTTTTCTCTGTCCCTCTTTCTCTCTTTTGCTCATGGAAGAAATAAATAAACTTAAAAAAAAAAAAAAGCTAAAATAACAAAATATTCAGGGCTGACAGGTAGCATGGTGGTTAAGGGTGCTGAACCACATGGCCAACTGTGGTTCGAGTCCTGGACCTGGCAGCTTGCTTTCTTAGTTTCTCTCTCTTTCTCTCTCTCACTCTGTCCTGCTTAGGTAGGTAGGTAGATAGGCAGAAAGAAAGAGAGAAAGAGAAAAAAGAGAGAAAGAAAGAAAGAGAGAAAGAAGGAAAGAAAGAAAGAAAAGAGAAAGAAAGGGAAGGAGGGAGGAAGAGAGGGAGAGAGGAAGAGAGAAAGAAAGAGAGAGACAGAGAGGAAGAAAGAGAAAGAAAAAGGAAGAAAGAAGGAAGGAAGAAAGAAAGAAAAAAGAAGGGAAGAAAGGAAGAAAGTTAAATAATTCGTTATAAAATATATATTAAAAAACCCTAGAAGAAAGTATACATATACATCTCTGTCCACTGCATGAAGCACAGACCATATCTATGCTCACTACTAATTCTCACTCCAAGAGCACTGTCATTTTGCCCTGCCCCCTCTAGGATCCTGCACAGCTTCCAGGTCATAAAATTGTTAATAGCCATCCCAAAAAGATAATTCAAATTTCAGATCAAGTCCAAAGAGATACTAGAGGGATTCATTTAACGTCCTTAGACTAAGATTGGACTCAGTTAATGAAGATAATGACCAGTCACTAAGGAAGTCGTTCTATATGTATACCTGAATCCCTGAAATACCATGAATAACTCAAAGAAAAAGAGGATACCTTCAAAGGAAAGATGCAGAGCAGGAACCCTCCAAAAATTTAAGTTATATGAGTTAATTCAAAGTTACAGAAGTAATTTATTTAAAGACTAACAATGATTTTAACAATCAAGTTTTCCATATGGCTTTAAGTATTCATTCATTTAAACAGCAAAAGTTTCACATTTTAAACACTACCTGATTTTATGAAGCTGTTTTGAAGTGAAGGATCTCCAGAAGCATAATGATGATTTGTTGTTAAATTTGTATTCCCAGATAGAGTTGGTTGGGATGATACAGGAGGACAATGGTTTGTCTGTGATCCTGTGGATGGATAGTTATATTGCCAATTCAAGGGTGGTGGTATGCTGGCTCCAGGAAGAAAGCTACTAGAAGGCATTGGTGTAGCAACTGGGTTCTGAGAAGCAGGTGGCGGCATTCGGGGAACAGGACCACTATGGAGTGAAGGTGTCACTGGATTAGAAGCCACAGGTGGTCTATTAAGAGTCTGCCCAGAACCCTGAGAACCACTATAGTTATACTGTCCAGAGACTGGATTCAAAGTCTTTGCTGGTATTAGATGAGGATAGGATCCTGGAAGCTGGGAGTTATATCCTTGGCTCACTGACATTTGTGAAGACATCAGTGCATTTTGGACAGGACCTTCCAAAAAAGAGAAAAAAAAAAAAATCAGTATAGCAAACAAACACAGCAATTCTTTAAAAAATACGGTATAATATGTGATACCCTTTTTTAATTTTTTTTTTTAAGAGAGGTTTTTGCTATAAGGCACGTGCACTTGCCAAAAAGACAGAGAGAAACAGATAGAAAGAAAGCAAGAAATCACCCCGTGGGGGGATGGCCATGCAGCAATCCCTTCTCCTCCATTCTCCTCTCAGGATCTTGGGCACACACACACGCACCCAGTGTGAGTTTAAGCCACTATGTCCAGGACTCGAACCGCGGTTGACTACATGGGAGTCCAGCGACCTAGCCATTACGCTAACTGCTGGTCCCTAATATATGATACTCTTACACTTAGCAATAAAAAGACAAGTAACCCAATTTAAAAAATAAACAAAAGGCACCAGCAGGTGGCGCAGTGGTTAAAGTGATGGACTTCCACATGGCAGAGCACAGCTCAAGTCTCAAAACTGGTAGCTTGAAACATATGCCAGGCATGTGTGCATGAGTGCCCAAAATCCCAAGAAGAGAATGAAGAAGGAATTGTGACATGGCCATTCCCCTGGGGTTGATTTCTAGAGTTCTCTCCAGTGAGCACATGCACCCTATGGCAAAAATGTATCTCTCAAAAGTAAATAAATATGGAGTTAGCAGGTGGTGTGGTAATTGTGACACCGGACTCCCACATGGCCAACCACAGTTCAAATCTCGGACTTGGTGGCTTGCTTTCTCATTTTCCCTTTCTCTCTCTTGTTGTCTCTCTCTGGTCAAATTTAAATACATACATACATACATACAAATAGTTAAATAAAAATTTAATAATAAAACAAAAAAGGATTTAGACACTCAAATATATTTCCAAAGAATAAATACAGAGCCAGCAGGTGGCGTGGTGGTCAAGGCTGCTGGACTCCCACATGGTTGACCATGGTTTGAGTCCTGGACCTGGTGGCTTGCTTTCTTGCCCCCACCCCCACCCCGTCTCATTCTGTCCCTCTCTGGTCAAATTAAAATCAATAAATAAAGTTAAGTAAAATAATTCTTTTTTAAAAAAGAAGAAATACAAATGGCTAATAACATGCAAAGACATTCAACATTATTAGTCATCAGAGAAATACAAATGTCATTAGTCATTAGAGAAATGCAAAACACAATCACTATGAGATACCACTCATACCAACTAGGATGGGTAAAGTAAAAAAGACAAATAATAGTAAGTGGGAGCACGTATGTAGAGTAATTAGAAACCTTATACATTGTTAGTGGCAATGTAAAATGATCCAACCATAAAGGGAGTTTGGCATTTCCTCAAAATGTAAATCATGCACGCAGTACACTGAGCTCCATAGAGAAAGTGCCGGGGCAAGTGAAAGCCAGACGGGCACTGGGCGACTCTGTGCCTCGTGGAGGAAAGATAACTAAACGTGGGCAAAGGAGACCCCCAAGAAGCCGAGAAGCAAAATGTCATCATATGCATTCTTTGTGCAAACTTGCTGGGAGGAGCACAAGAAGCAGCACCCAGATGCTTCAGTCAACTTCTCAGAGTTTTCTAAGAAGTGCTCAGAGAGGGGGAAGACCATGTCTGCTAAAGAGAAAGGAAAGTTTGAAAATATGGCAAGGCCCGTTATGAAAGAGAAATATAAACCTATATCCCTCCTAAAGGGAAAACAAAAAAGAAATTCAAGGATCCCAACGCACCCAAGAGGCCTCCTTCGGCCTTTTTCTTGTTCTGTTCTGAATATCGCCCAAAAATCAAAGGAGAACATCCTGGCCTATCCATTGGTGATGTTGCAAAGAAACTGGGAGAGACGTGGAATAACACTGCTGCAGGTGATAAATAGCCTTATGAAAAGAAGGCTGCTAAGCTGAAGGAAAAATACGAAAAGGATATTGCTGCATATCGAGCTAAAGGAAAGCCTGATACAGCAAAAAAGGGAGTTGTCAAGGCTGAAACGAGCAAGGAAAAGGAGGAGGAGGAGGAGGAGGAAGATGAGGAAGATGAAGATGATGAAGAGGATGAAGAAGATGACAATGATGAATAAGTTGGTTCTAGCGTAGTTTTTTTTCCTTATCTATAAAGCATTTAACTCCCCTGTACACAACTCACTCCTTTTAAAGAAAAAACTGAAACATAAGGCTGTGTAAAATTTGTTTTTAAACTGTATAGTGTCTTTTTTTGTATAGTTAACACACTACCGAATGTGTCTTTAGATAGCCCTGTCC